AGAAGCGCGACCGTGGAAACGTTTCACTCGTCGGGCAGCCTTTGGAATCTTCGGATTTTTCGAACCGCTCGAAAGTCCAGCTTTCTACGTTCAACCCTTCAACTTCCGCTTTTAGTATTTTCCTTTTTCTTATTTTAACTGCAAATTACCTGAGAACTCGCGCAATTTACAGCTAGACTTGCTTAATTTTGAAATTTTTAATTCAACTTGATCTTACCGCTGACATCCGTCACGGGTAAACGTGCGATTCTATAATACAATTCAGTCCGTGTATTTCACTGACTTTACGCAAATTCTTTGTTGCACGATACAAACTATTGTTCAAGTTTCTCCCTTCAAGCTTTCAAACAAAACTTGGATTTCCATCAAAGATCTCTTCCATTATACACGAAACAATCGGCAGAAATATTGCGTTCATTTGGCATTCTATTAATCCATTGTGTGCGAACGATTTTTCCCCCAAAGCAGTATCATTCGAAATTGATAAACATTCGATTAATCAAAATCCAATGTTGCATTGTTCTTATCTAACGAATCCACCATCGGAACATTGTTAATATTCAGTGCCGTAATGAGGACACATATTCATGCGCCAATCAACACAGCGTATTGTTCAAAACGCTTAGGGAATCACGTTCCCAGATAATTGTGAGGATCGAATCGAATATTAGAGACCGCACATTTCGCTCGTGCACCGTCTCTACGTACCACCGCCTCTTTATAAACTCATTAAGGCCAACGTACGAAAAAGATCGCCGGTTCTTCGAATACCAGACTTCGTTCTATATGACACGATCAATCGTCGAGGAAACGACGAGAGAATGGAAATCCATTCACCGAGACGATCGTTTTCGGATCGTTCCAATGCTAGACGTAGAACCAACTACGTCTTGCCGATTTTCTTGCAGCAGAAGCACAGTTCATTTCGACGAGTACTCGCCTCGTTCGAGCTGTTAAATTAATACAGTCGAATCCTCCAGAAAATTAAACGAACGAATGCTGCTGCGCGGACGTTTACTCAGAAACTAAGTGAAAACTACTACGTCGTTGGCTCAAAAATTCAAAGCTGGATATATTCCTGGAGGTATAGATCTCTCAAGAATGTCAGACGAATTTAACCCCTTGGTGCTGGCAACTGATTCGCGGACCATAACGAGTGACCAAACCGTATACAATAATTTGAACTCGTCGGTACGATATATATTTTATCAAGCTTATCATTTGTTTTGCCTGGGTTGTATTTAAATATAGTTAAAACTGAGAAAATGTTGCAATTTAGGACAAAAACTTCTCGACGCGCGTCATTACAGCGCACGAGATGAAAAATATCGGCTTCCTTTACTCGAGGTTAGCGAATTGAATTCGAAACGCCGCGTCGTTGAGTCGCTTCTCGAAAGTCTCACGATCCATTACACCCTCGTTAATTCTGTGCAGGAGGTGTCAGGCCACGAACCCGGACCAAAAACCTCATCGGACACCGCCGGTACCGGGGCAGAAATCTCGTTTACATTTATCACGGGGGGTGGATGGCTTTGCTCTCGCCCCCTCACACGTGCCGCAAATACAAACGCGCGCGCTATCCGTGGGAAACACACCGATAACAGCGCGCACGTGCATAAACCAGCAGCGTTAGCCGCGTGCATTCGCTGCTTCTTGCGTGGCCGATCTAGTTGCTCGGCTATTCATGCTTTGAGACGCGATATTAAGGTTTCAATTAAACGCGGCCGCCGCGTCAGACTTGGAAACTAATATGCCATCGAGTAACTCTGAAGGATTCAAAGAGGGCTCTGCCTGGATAGGATGGTAGAGAGCGTAGGTAACGAAGAGACGACGACGACGACGACGACAGAAACTGTCGAGGATGCAACGTTTCCTCTTTCCCGCACGATCAACGTCGTCGAGAGGGATTGATGTACAAGGGAACCGGGCATCGTGCGGCTTCGTGGCGCAGCCACGTGACGTGTCTTTTGAGACTACGTCTCGTAAACACGCAGCGACTCGCGGAGGAGCCGAGAGGGGTGGAACGACTGAGAAAGTAAAGGGCTGAGAAATTCCGGCCGTTTATACGTTTCGCAAGGACCTGGTATTATTGAGTTTCGTCGGGCTTGCGAGCTTTAGGAGTTTCGTTCAAGTCAGCGTCATTATGGAAAAATTGGAAATTGATCTGGAGGAGACGGTCAAGTGCGATCGTGTGAATGGCGACAACTGTTCGTATACTACGAACTTTTGTGCAAACGTTTTTTATAAACCCAATTAATTACACATGGGCAAACTGACGATTGAAATTTGGATAAATTGTATGATCAGTAAAAAGTGCCAATTGCAGAGAAACGTGCACGCATATGAAAAGTTGAACAGATGGAAACGCAAGAAGAAATTTATTTCATCCGCCAAATTCGACAATAGATACCACAGACTTTATATGTTTTCTGTATTTCGTGCGTTCTTGCGATTATTAATTTTTTATAAATTAAAAGAAAGAAAAAAAAAGAAGGTCGCAGTCATTCGCCACACGTTAACTATAACATTTCTATTTCTTTTACCTATAAGATTGCTCCAGCGTTCGCGAAGGAAGAAATGAAAGAACGTTTGAAATGAGAAATTTAATCGAAAACTGCGAACAAAACAGTAGTTAAAAACACGGACGGCAACTTGTCAGCCACGCGACCGCTCCGAAGTTAATTTCGAAATGTATTATCTGAAAATTTCGACGAGTTTGAGAATTCGTTTAACGGTCTATTATTTATCTGATCGTTTAGACACAAAGAAAGAAACACGGTGCTGGTAATAGTAACTTCATGCCTCTCTTTCTCTCGTCCACGTAGCTTTTGAAAACGGACAAAAGAAATATGTATCTATATATAAAAATATATATACATATATATTGTACGTGGAATCGGAGCATCATTTTTCCCGAGCGTCCATTGTGACAACGATCCGTTTAATATAATATTCCGTGGCACGAGACGACGGAGCAATTGAAAAGAGAATCGTGACAACGATGAAGTTTTAATGATATCCTCCGGCTTCCGGTTTCCACGTACCAGATTCTCCGTTTCAATCGATGCTGATGAAACGAAGAGAGAGAGAGAGAGAGAGAGAGAGAGAGAGAGAGAGAGAGAGAACGAGCTCGAAGATTTCCAACTATTAGTTAACGTCGGATCGATCACGAATCTCCGTCGCAATTTTGCACTACTGTTTGCAATTTCGTCTTGCGAAACATCTGGCTGGAAAATGAAGTGTGAAACGCATAAACACAAGTGCTTTTCTAAAAAGACTTTTCAACGGAGGAACAAAGTAACGTCTATGCAAAATACATTGTTCTTTGCTGCTGCCTAAGATTCAATCTTTTTAATTTTATTGGAGACAAATGTATCGTTGGTTAGCCAGGAAAACAACACGTGTGAAACATCGATAAGATAAATGTCACAGCTGCGCGATAAAATTGTACAAAAGTGGACACTTCGAATAAATTTCCCAGCTACTTCCACCGATAATTATATATTTCGATATTAGAACTGTGAAAGTAAATCTCGTCACACGTACATCTTCAACGTCGTCTGGCGTTCAAGAAATTCGCGACGTTACGATAAATTACTGCTTGGTCCCTCCGAGTCTGGAAACTTCCACAGAGTCTGGGAGCAACTTTCTTTCGAATCATCCGCCGAAATCCACCCGGCGAGATACGGAGAGAGAAAAAGAGATAAAGAGAAAGAGAGAGAGAGAGAGAGAGAGAGGGGGGAAAAAAGGAACGAAAGCGCATCGGCGCGACTAATCTGGAAACAAAGCGGCGGTTCGCGAAACAGAAAGGGAAGGAAACGAGTCGCGGGAGGGTGAATCGGCCGCCTTCGCGGCGAATGGACTTTCCACGTTCACGTCGCAATTTCCTGCTGCATTATGCAGAATGCACACGCGCGTGCACCGCGCCACGCCGGAAGCGGCGCGGTAAATCGGATCCCGCGGCCGGGCGATACATCGCGTACCTGTGCGCGGCCTCCTCTCTTTTAAACTTTTCTCCACCATCGGTGTAAATAATACCGGCACGGCGCGAAATCGTAAAGTTCCGCGGTCTGCACGTCCGCGTTTTTCCCTTTCCGTTCTCGGTTGCTTCTCCTCGATCGATCCGTCGAACAGACGGAGCAACAGAGGAGGCTACGCGAGGATCGCATTTATTTTTCAACGGCGAAATTTACGTGTGACGCTGCCACGTCGAGATGGGATTCGTGCTCATCGTCGAGCGCGCCCGTTATCGATTTAAAGCGGATGCCGACCAGCTAGCCGCTGATACGAATCCCCTCTGAATTCGACAGAAATCTCCGACGCGCCAACGACGAAGATTCCTCTGGCGGGCGTCGTTCGATTCGACGGGAGATTTCTAACGAAACGAGACGAGACGAACAATTGTCTGGCGTGTCAAGTTTGGAAGACAGAGTGCCGAATTGTTCGCGTCGAGTTGTTCGCGATTTATTATCGGCTAGGCGAACGTTCGTTCTTCGAAAGCAGCTCGAGAATCGCAGCTCTTTATTCAACTCGAAGGACGTTGAAACGAATTTCAGAGGTGATCGTCGAAAATCAAGAATCAAACAACGAGATACGACAGAAAACAGGAACGTGATTCGCAATGATCGTTTAAGCACGAAATCCGGAGATGGAAAGGTATAATCCGTAAACAACCTAGTTTCCCCGGGTACTTCCCTCGTTCTCGCGCGCGTCCTAAATTTGTCACCGGCGAGAGGAATTAATTAACCTACTAACCAAAGCAGAGCCTGAGACACGGACACGAGAAAAATCAACCCGAAAACGTCCGGTTCGATCTGCTCTCCGATGAACGGAGCATAGTCAAAACCACCCGTCAACTCGGTCACGAGAATTTTCATTGATACGGGAGCGGCGAGACGAGGATTGATACGTCGATCTAAAAATATAGCGAGCGCATGCAACAAAACACGAGCGCGATTCTGTGGCTCGTGATTTCTCCGTGAAGTGGTGCTGCCACTGACCTTGGCGAACCTCTCTTGCGTGTCGAGTATCTCGATGAAGAGGGACACCTTATCGTCGACAATCTTGAATCCGTTTCGTGGCTGCGCCAGCAGCTGCTGTATCGCTTGCGAGGTGGTGAGCGGCGTGGCGGGGCTTGTGGCAGGCGTGGAGCTTCTGGTTCCGGTGCTGCCGGTGCCGCCGGAGCTGCTGTTGTGCAGATGAGTGCATCCGAGGAAGATGGGATTGCCGTTGGGCGAGACGCCGCAATTAAACGGGCGGAACGGTAGGCCGTGAAACGTCGGGCTCGGTCTCGGCGCGGAAGCACGAAGAAGAGACTGTGCAGACGGCAGTGAGAGACGTCGCGTGGCCGTCTGACTCTGTTGTTGGTGCTGTTGCTGTTGCTGCTGTTGCTGCTGCTGCTGCTGTTGTCCCGGCTGCGTCTGCTGTTGAGACCTCGACGGCGACTTGAGAATCTGATAGTCGCTGGCGGCGGATGGCAGAGATCGATACCCGGAATCGGAGGGTGAGGCAGGCGGCATCGGGGCGGTTTGCGGCGTGGTGGCGATGCTGTGAGGCCTGGATCGAAGCGCGGCGCCCGGCGTCCACGTGTTTGAGTTGCCGGGATTCGTTAGAATGCTCAGAGCGGGCCCTTGTGACGTGGGCGTGGGTGGCTGGGGATGTGGCAGGGTCGAAGCGTACGCCCGGCGAGGTATGGGTTGGTGCAACACCATTCCAGAGGAGCCCCACTGTATAGGCTCGCCTGTTGTACGAGCGGACGATGGTACGCCGGTTGCTGATGTTGCTGGAGCTGTTGCAGGCATGCCTGCTGAAGCTGTAACGGGTGTCGAGGCGATGCTGTGAGGCCGCCTAGATACGGGTTGTTGAAGTTGCCCGTTCCATAAAGACTGGGGTGGTATAACGCTGCGAGTCGTGGGTCCCACTGTCCCGCCGTTGACGGATGGTGTCCCACCGTTGCCCCGTGGCTCCGGCTGCCCGTTGACACCATTGATGCCGCCATTGTTGTTACAGCCGCCGGCGGATACAGATACTGGAGTACCGGCGACCGAATGGGCGCGCCGTTGTACCATGCCTGATACAACGCCGGCTGAACTTGAGCCTGGTGCGCCAACGTTGCCGCTCCACGATGACGGTGTTGCTGATCCTGCTGGTGTGCCTGCTGGTACGATGATTGTTGTTGTTGTTGTTGTTGTTGTTGCTGCTGCTGCTGCTGGTGATGGTAGTGCTGACGTTGCGTTTGCTCGACCACCGAGCTGACCAAGGGAGTGGTGGACATTTGAGACATGGTGGTATGGTGGAGCGGCAATACTATGAGGACGCCTCGGTGCTGTTGGCTGGGGTAAACCGTTGGGAGTAGAGCGAATTTTATTTGCGCCGGATGCTGGTATCGGGGCTGGTGGGGTGTACAGTGGGAATCCGTGACCATTGTGACTCGGGCTACGGGTGGGCAACTGGTTGATCGGGGACGATTGTACGCTGTTGCGTTGCTGTTGTTGTTGCTGCTGCTGCTGGTGTTGTTGGTGGTCGTTGACGAGGGCGTTTGTACGAGGCGAGGTCGCGGGATGTGTTGGAGCCGGTGGAGGCGGGGGTTCCAGCAAATTTTCAAGTTCTGCAGACAACGACCACGCTGAAGATAGTGCTGATAATGGTGGTACTGTTGGTAGAGCTGGTAGCTGGACGGTGGCGGCGGTGGTTGCTGAATTGCCAGCGGACTCGGAATTGTTGACTGCGCCGGCAGGGCTTGGCGAAGCTGACTTGTTGACGCGTGCGGCGCGTTCACCGCCGACGACAGCGGTGACGTGCTGTAGATGACGATCATTCAGGCTCGCACGTCCGTTGACATTGCGATAGAAACCGGGACCCGGCGCTAGATTCAGGCTGGTCGGCTTCTGTTTCACCCCGCCGTTGGGCTGCGGAGACGAAGCGGGTTTCGGTTCGCCCATTTGGGTTTTAGCGGCGTCAGGACACGACCGACTAGGTGTCCAGCTTCACGATCATCGTCGTGTTTCTCTTGCCAAACTAAATTTCCTTCCCGCTTTCTGTCCACGCTTTCGAAAACCCTTCCCAAGATCCTCCGGATGCTCTTCGATTTTACAAATTCCACGCGATCGGAGCGAAACGCATACCCACCGTGTTTTCGGCCCGCCGTACGACGAACTGGCGACGATCTAGCGCGCGCCTAAATCCTAAAACGCGTCACAAATTCCAAGACGCTGCTCGTTGTCCCGAGATTGCCAGACGACTCGCGAGGCAGCTTGTGCACATTTCGCGCGCGACATGTTGGCCCACGCGTGAGCAAATCGATAATCTCCTCGTTGCACCTGGAGACGTCGTCTACGCCTTCTACGCGTTTAAGCGTTTCCTCTTTCCTTCTCGTCGCAAGGTCGACGACCGATCTCCATTCTCATCCACGATTTTCTTCCTTCTTTGATCGGACGACGCATTCCAAGCGACAGATTCTTCTCTCCCTTTCTTTCTTTCTTTCTTTCTTTCTTTCTCTCTCTCCTTCTCTCTCTTTGCTCTCCTGATATCTATCTCTCCCTGATAATTCGTAATATTTAGGCTCGATATTTATTCTTTCGTTGCACCGATCGATAGGCCAATAACTAGGCTTTGTCCCGCGTCGCCAGAGATCGTACAATATCTCGAAATAACATTTGATTAATTGTATGCCGGCGAACGTTAATTCAACGCTGGGAATTCTCGCGTGAATCGATCGTTATTAATTACTCGTCGATTGTTACTCGAATTAAAGTGCGAACTCACGACCATTATTATATATTTAGAGTGCTCGCTCGTTAGCCGGATGATGTTCCGACACGGAAGGTGCGTTCTTTCCAGTTCGCGAATATTATCTCCGCTCTTCCACCTCTCTCTCTCTGCTCTTCAATAAATCTCTTCTCAACTGATTTTTACGTTCACCGTGAACAACGGTATAAAAATCTCTCAAATATATTATATGTATATATAGATATATCTATGCAATATCGAAGATTCTCGTATAATAAATTTTCACTATTTAACGACAACGATCACTAAATCCTCTAATAATGACTTTTAATAGAACTTCGATCTACTCGATGATTGTAGGATGTGATATACTTCGAATAGGGAGAACTCTTTTTTTTTTCTTCTTCTTTTTTCTTCTGTTTCGTTTTTTTTTTTTTTTTTNTTTTTTTCTCTATGTCAACAACTCGTTTAATTCTTCCCGCTACTACGCCTTCTACCAGTCGTACAACGAATAACTAGAAAATCGTTCGCCTGTCGTTGTCAAGTTTATCCGGAACACGTGGCTGCGAAGATCGTGCGAAACACCGCACCCCCGTGGCATTGATCGACGACCGACCGGCGATCGACACGAACGCGTCGATCAGAACGAACGACACTGGAACGCCAAGTTTCACGACGCTCTACTTACTTCCCTCCTCGCGTCAACGAGAATTCCGCGATGTTTACCCGCGCGACGGACAAGACGAGACAGAGACGTTGGAAAGTCGCGGACGCGGGCACTGAACACCAGCCACCACCCGTACACGCAGAGACAGCAGAGAGACAGCCGAGAGAGTACGAACACCGAACACCGAACGTCTGAGACGAAGAAACTTTATCGAAGGACTGGTGTCCTTCTTCCCTCTTCCTTCCGGTTGTTCCAGCCCTCACTATTGCACTCGTCGTCGAACCTCCACCGCGAAACAATCATCCATCTTCGCTGACCTCTCGCGCCTCTCCGTCGTCCTCTCCATGTTCGTTTCCATGTCGTGCGGGCCCGCTTTCTTTCAGACTTTCAAACCATGTACGCGCTTTGTACGTGTGCGCGCGTGTGTACGCGTGTCAGTAGCACGAATCTCGCCGCTACCGGACTGAATCGGAGAAAGAACCAGGGTGTCTTAACACTGACAGGGTCGACGAGCACCGATCGCGTAACGCTGATCTTCCTTCACCACGGTCGGTTGAACGTAGTAGCCGTTGAGGTTAGGCCGTTTCGGCGTCGCCAGCATGATTTCCAGCGACGAAGCAGCAGCACTTCCGGTCGGAGGGCAACTGAACGGGCCGGTCGCGCGACGTTCTTCGCCGGTACGAACCGCGTGAGTTCAATGTGCGCGGGTCAGGAATCGAAGAGGGAAGTTAGGGACAGGAGGTCAGTCGGGCGAGACTGACGCGTGGCTGCCGTGCCGGGGGCGGAGTGGCGTGTTCCTCTTTGGAATACGGCGGGATTCGAGCCGCGACCAGCCGCACGCCTGCGCCTCGCCGCCTCCTCTTCCTCTCTCCCTCTCTCCTTCCTTCGTCTCGTCTCCTGACTCTCTCTCTCTCTCTCTCTCTGCTAACCCGTTCTCCCTCATCCCTCCCCCACTTGTCCTCTCTCTTTGCTGTTCCCTCAGGAACATTGGTACAGCCCTGCTGTGCCCTTCCGTCCCTCTCCACCGTAGAGCTCGTCCAACCTAGAAGCCTGTAGCTCCTTCTATCCGACCAGAGAGTCATCTGCTCTGTCGTCTCTTTCTCCGCGAGGCTTCGACGACGATCGCGATGTAGACAAACGCGACGATTCTTCTCTCCAATCCAGTCAACAAAGTCTTCATCGCGCTAAAAATCAGGGGTGTCTCCTTGTTCACCGTGCCTTTAATATTCCAAAATGCACAAATTTGCGTTCACTCGTTACACTAACACTCGATCGACACGCGAGCGTTCAAGCTTGAAGCGAACACAAATCTAGTCAAAAGAATTTTTTGACGCGTAGGAAATCTTACCTTATCCGCTTCACGTAAAGAGAAGCGGACAGAAGAAGATCGAAAGCACGATAAAGAAAGCAGAATCCGTTTCTGCCTGTGACTCCTTGCGCTGGCAACTAGTTCGCGGACCATAACGAGTGACCGAACCGTGTAATAACTCGTCGCTTTGTTTTTCTTTTGAACTCGTCGGTATGATATCACCGGATAGAAATTATTAAGAACTTAATAACAAACTTATCATCTGTTTTGCCCGGGTTACATTTAAATATACATAAAACTGAGAAAATGTTGCAATTTGGGACAAAAAATACTCGACGTGGACAGCGATCGCGGACGACTCCTCGTCAACCATGGTTCCCTGTTTCTCGCGTCGTCTCTTTGCTCGCTCCTCTTCTCAACGCTCGTTTTTGCTTTTTCGTGCGCGAGCCGACGCGACCATTAATTCCGTCTCATTGATCTCCGCGTCCGCGTCGAAACGCTTTCCACCGACGGTTTTCTTCCGACCTCGTTCTTTTTTCCCCACGCGACGCGCAATTATTCCGATCCAGAGACGGAGACCCGATGCGGGTGAAAAAGAAGAAAAAGAACACCGAGCCAAGAGAAAGCATCGTTCGTGCCGTGTGAGTGATTCCTTCCCCTCCATGTGTACGGAAGACGTCGCATCAAATGTGAAAACGAGAGGAAAAAATGAGAGGCAGCATCTGCGGTTATCGCGGCCGGAGCACGCTGTGCTCCTCTGCCATACATTCGTCACCCTCCCTGCCCCTCTGACCCACGACCCTTTCGCTGTTTCCCGCGGTCCACCGCCCCCTCTGTTTATCTATCCACCCTTTCAACGCGACGTGATACGAGCAGCATGCGCCCAACCTCCTTTTCCCGATCTGGGTATGTGGGACTCTGACCACGTTGTATGCCACGACAAGCCGCGGATCAATGACAACGACCACGGGAACGATAACGGCGCGATTATCGTGGATATCGTGGCCCAGCTCGACAGGAAGCGCGTTCGAAAGACACCCGCGGAATTTTATACACCGGATCGAAGCGAATCGAGGCACTTGCCGCGGCGCAATGGTTGCCGGGTTATCGACCTCCTGATTAGTACTGCCTCGAGTTTAATGACGCTCGAAGCTGACTTCGTGATGACCGGGTATTTTAAGATCGGCTCACTTGGATGACGCGGAGATTCAGTAGCCGCGTGGTTCAAATATTTCTGCATATAAGTATGTAAATTATATCGTCTGCGACGTGCCTGATCAATATTCGAAGCACTGGACTAGAACTTGGCCAGAATTTTCTTTACTCACAAGGGAAGATGATTGTTAATTAATTACAGCTCTTGCAACGATACGTCGCCATTAATTCGATATAACTTTCGAATCGCGTTCGAGGTTAAAATATCATTTTTTCGTTACATCTTTCATCTCTGGGGAGATCTTTTTTTTTTTTTTCGGGGAGTGACCTTTCAGTCTGACGCGAATGAAGAACGAAGAAGAGAGGCAAAGTTTTATTTTTCACGCATTTCGACCACTTTTAATCTCCAGTCGTGGAAGATTCGAAAACAGAAGACAAGAAACCACGAAACGAAGGGAAACGAAGACCAAACAAAAAGAATTCAGATCTCGCGAACGCGGATAAACTCTCGGCCAGCAAAAAATTAAGAAATTTCAACATCCCCAGCGAGAAACGTCGCCCCTTAACGTCGATTTACTCTCGATCCTTTCATTACGAACGCGTCCCCTAATCTGCTTTATCCCTACCCGGCGGTGCTCCGTGTATTTTGCGACGTTCTGTAAACGTTCGCCTCCCGAATTTACGCGAGCGCGTCAGACGACTGTGGCTCTCGCAAATAACTCGCGTACAGCCGTCTCTCCCTCTCCTCCTCCGCCCATCGTCATCTCTTCTGCTCGTCGATTCACTAACGTTTCCTCGCAGCAGGAATCCCGCAGAAGCGAGCCTGCAATCCGACAATATCTGATTGCGTTTCGTACACGTTGCACGCAGGAATTTTAAGACGAGGATTAACTCCGACTTGAGAGAAACTATCCAAAAGATCTGTTTCTTTGCCGTTTGAGAATTCGGGCAAAGTTGTCGAACAGATCCGAGAATTCGCAACAGAGTAAAACGCTTCCTTTCGTTGGAAAAGAATTCGCCTCGAACGACAAAATGAGCCGAATGAAAAAAAAAAAAAAGAAAAAGGAAAAGAAGACGCGATAAGAGAGTAAGAGAAAAGTAAGACAGGGAACGCAACATGCAAATGAGAGTCTATGCAATTTTCACGAACAGTCGAGCTGTATAAAATGAACCGCGCAGCAGCACCCGATGCCTGGGAGGAACTCTCGATATTTCATAACTCGTGTAGCGTTTTCCGTTTTCAATATAACCGCCGCGCCGCTGTGCTCGACTTCTGTCACTACCGCGGTGTAACGTATCTTCCTGCTCGGCAGGAAATGCATTCCTGTACCAGCGATATCCCAGAAAAAGTTCCTGCGGACTCGGTGCCAAACTTTTCGCATAAAGGGATCGTCAACACCGGGGGACGTGTCTCAACTTCGTCGGCAACACTGATCGCACCAAAAAGAAACACGTATTGCCAACCTCTCGTTTTAACTCTTTTATACCATCTCGTACACACGTCGCTACTCGAATATCCCCGCTTCTAATGAAAATTCGACTCGCCGTTCTTTCGGAGTTCTCGCGATTCCGTACGAACGAACGGTTAATAGACGGCGGATTTTTCTACAAATTCGCGTTTGAGGCGCGTCTGATACTTTATATTTTCCTTTTAGTCTTAAAAGCGAAGAAAAGAAGAGGAATTTCTTGCGAGACGTTACGCACTTTTGACCACCTGCGCTGGCAACTGATTGCGGACCATAACGAGCGACCAGACCCTATACAATAACTCGTCGCTTTCTTTTTAAACTCGAGGCTAGAATAATATCATTAAATAGAAATTACTAAAAAGTAATAAATATATTATTTATTTCGTTGGGTTATACTTAAATGTATTAAAAACTAAGGAAATATTGCAATTTTTGGGACAAAAAATTCTTGACGTGCGCGGCACGTCATTCCAGCGCAAGAGGTTAAAAAAAAAGCGTGTAAAATATACAAAACAGAACGCAGCGATACGTGCATACTCGCGAATTAAAATCGACGGATATAGAAATTTTTTCAAGTATAGCGATTTAATATCTCCTGCCACTTTTGCGAATTCAGCACTTCCAAGTCCGACGGAACTAACAAACGAAACGAGGGCCGCGAGAGATCAGAAAAGAGAGGACAGACACGGCCAATCAAGTTGGACGTTGTAACCGCGAGCCGATGAAAAACACTCGGGTGATCCTCGAAATTCCCGAGCAAGTTGAAAAAAAAAATAATATATCCTGACGCGCGTACATGCCTCGTCGCGAAAACTCCGTCGTTCGCGTTAAATTTCTATTTCTGGACAGAGCGACGTCCATTCGCAGCGACGAATGAAATTCTCGGAATGGTCTCGTAGACCGCACACAGGCAGGTGGTATCATAACTCGGGACGTGTAAACGCAACGGGTAGTTTCCTTCAGAAAACGGGAGAAATTCGTCATCGTTCCGCGGTTTTCTTCCTCTCTTCCTTTTGTCGTGCAGCCAATTCACGGCGCTACGTGACGGTGGGAGCGTATCGCCTCGCTTTTGTGTTGCGCCGCGTTGCGTCGAAATGATTTATTCGGCTGGCGCGGGAGGGGAAGAGGGGGCCAACCACAGCTAGGTTTCGCGTCTCGTTGGAACTTCCGGCAATTTTGTCGGACGCGAGCTGCCGGATCGAATAAGCTTCGGCCGGGTCGCGTCGATACCATTTGTATCCATTGGTTGAAAGTTGCGCCTAACGTCGAACACGTTCGACCGCCTTGCCACGATCGTGGCACATGGAAATTGCGCGAGCGAGCGTCGTCTTGCGGCATAATTTGCCGGCACCCGGCTCTAATAGATTTTGGCGCGCGATCAAACCCGCGATTCCGAAGCTCAACCGCGTTTCACCCCATCTTTCGTAGTTCCCGTGTTCAGCCCGGTTCCACGGCGACTCGTCTTTCCCAGAGTAATAATGTAATGTTTACTTTTTGGATATTTACCATTGCCGCCCTCGCTCACAAACTAGACTAACCAAACGTTTGCACTGCAATAGCGACTAACTCGATCCATACTATACAGTGTTTGCACGGTTACAGTAACTAACTCGATTCTTACGATCCGCCGTGTATTAGCGGATTGCGGGGTTTTTGTGTAAATACATATTTCCGGGAATGTGATTCAGAAAATGGAACCGGTTCGTACGTAACAGTGGATTAAGTTGCCGAAAAAACACGTCGTGTTCCACTTCCTGAAGATGGCTGTCTGATAACAATAAATTGACGAATGAAAGTACTTTGCTCTCTTGCTGTTGTAGCGGCCTAGAGTCCCTCGAGTACGAGTTTCGAACACCGACTTGTACAAACCGCAAATGGCTGTGCGCCTAGCGTCGAAGTCTAACGATATTCGATGTTAAGCAAACAGAGTGCGGAACACCGCTAGGATGAGTGACTGTCCAGCCTAGCGAGTAGTTAGGACAACAAGCGTCTGGGGTAAGGAGTCGCTGCCATCAACCCCACTGATGAGTCTAAGCAGCGACTCTGAGACGAAACGCACAACCTTTCCTCACCTTTACCCCATCACCTAGATCCAATCCTACCACTTCCTACGTTGTCCTCGCATCGTCATCAACATATAGGCCCTTCACTGCCTTTTGATCAAATTTCGACGGAATTCAATAATTAGATTCGTGTTAGGATCGTCCAGATATATCGTTCGTCGGATAGGACGTTCTGCTGAGAGTGACGACATTCGTCGGACAAGCAAGACGTTCGATTTGGGAGAACAGAAAAGATTACAACGAACGCTGCGGCGTATTGTGCAGCGTCTACTA